AGCGCGTTTTAGGTCTGACATTCAACCTCGGGAAACGTATAACTTGGCCAATTAACATAGATTAGACCATATCACGGTAGCGCGGAATCGTACAGGGGAGACCCCCCGAGATGGCTCCACGCCAGAAATATGATACGTATCGTATATCTTAAAAAGACACCGGCACCAGCGTTTCATTAAGGGTACTTACAGCGCGATATACTTCAGTCGAAAAATCCAACTGCGAGCTCAGCGTGTAACTCACGCCTATAATATACGGACTGTAATCTGACATGGCACGATCGCATTGCACTGCACACGTGGCTCATTCTGTATAGAGAGGAGAGATATAGAAATCAAAGATAAACACACACGATGATACGGAAGGTATAACGACGAGAGGTGCGGAGCGAGTGAATTAAAGGTTTCATCACGTATTCACTCTTTTTTTTTATATATATAATTCGTATCCCGTGTCTCGTCTCGAAGGCCTTCAATTGTTATGCGAGTGATGTCAAACGTATAACTCCGTTGCAGCTTTAAAAGTATCGCAGTTATAGAATTCTAGTGGCTACCGCGTGTATAGAAAAAAAAGAAGGGTTTACAGATCTCTTCCAATTGTCCCGCTATTCTTTTATGCAAAATACACGCTTCCCTCCGCGATGTACCTACAATTTTCCGTCCAGCCGCGCGCGCGGGTGCGGCGCGGCGCGGGGGTTAATCTTTCATATTAAATAACTTCGTAACTTTTGCCGCTTCAACATCGGGACGAAATGACCCGTTATTTGCTGCTCCGAGTGGGCCCGCGGCATCAAACGATATCTGAAGTGTGGTGCGGGAGATTCCACGTATACATATATACGGCGGCGACGCGCGCGCCCACGTATACGCGCGTAAAACGTCGTTGAGCGCGCCTTTGCGGCGCCTAAAACGCGAAGTTCCCGGCGCACAATAAATTGTCGCCGAGGTATCAATAACCCTCCCCCCCCCCCTCCCCGCGATATACCGCGCCTCGTAAGCGCCGGTTAATAGTCCGCGCCGCGCGCACCGCTCTTCGCTCGTTCCTCTCCTGCCTTCCCTTTCCCCGGCCCTCTCCTCGCCTCCTCCTTCTGCCCCTAGCCGGTCGACTTTGAATAACGATCCATGACGAATTCGGCGGACGGCCCCACACCTGAGCCGTCTTACCGGCTGGTATTCATCCGACAGCGGTGCTCCATTTACATGAGACGCCTAGATACAGCGACTACGGGAGGAAGGGGTGGCGTATACAATATCGGCGGGGAAGAGATGTAACCGGGGCCGCTAGAAAAGCGTGAAAATTTCGGAATTCCGGTGCAAACACCGTGGGTGGTCATTCCCCTTTCTCAGTCGAGAAAGAGACTCCCTCCCTCTCTCTCTTTCTTTCTCGCGTTCTCTCTCTCTCTCTCTCTCTTTCTTATGCTTCTTTTTTTTATTCGAGGATACATTTCACCTTCATTGTTTCACGGCGAGTTATGGTTTTCCACGGTGCGCCGCGGTGCCCGGTTGAGCGCGGCGAACCGCGCTCGCGCGCAGCGCAATTCATCAAAACCGGAGGCCGTAGGTAGAGGTAACGTTTTCGAGTATCGATACCGTAGCTTAAGGATTAAACCGATAACGATCGCCGGGCCGCACGGTATATACGCTTCGGCTCCACGTGTCCGACGTAATTAATTGCGTCAACGTCTTTATAGTGATACCGCGCGGCGGATATTTTTACGCCAATGGCGCTCGCCGGAGCAATTTAAGTATACCGTGATCTATCGACGCTGGAAGCGGCTAGATAGACATTCCTTTCCTTTAGGCATATTCGTGCTATCTAATGTAGCAATTATTAATATTGTTCCGTGATTTATCTCGAGAATTTACGGAGATAAATAATTTTACAAGTGCACGCGGATTTAATACTTTAATATATCGCGTATGTAATTTACCTAATTGAGAGGAAAGAGTTTGGAAAAATTTTTTTAACATGCCTCGTTAACCTACGACGTTTATCCAGTGAGTTTTGTATGTCTTACGTAGTGTACAATTTTCATTGTCATAAGCATATAATGATAAAAATATTGTATAACGTGATTAAAAGTAAAAATTATATTAATGATTGAATAGCGCACTTTTTATGTTACATTCGAACCTCGATAACTTGAATCTCAAGAGAAGAGCTAAACCCTTCGAGTTATAAAAGAGGGTTAACATATGAAAATTCGATTTATGGAGGCTTTGTACGAGAGTTTATAATTTTCCGATTATAATGATTTTTAATTGGAAAAAAGTTCAATATTTGACAGTGAATTATTTATTGCATATATACAATAAATGTAAATACACATAGGTTATACAACTTCGAATTATAGAGGCAGCGATAATAATTCAAATTGCAAAGGTAAAATAATATATCTAAATATTTGACAAATAATTCGAGTTAAGATAGGTTTTATTTCGATTTATAAGTTTCCGCAGTGGAGGTGAAAGAGAATAAACAAAATTTTCGTCTTAGGTTTTCAAGTTGTAGAGGTTCGAATTATCGAGGTTTAACTATACATCGTTACATGGAAAGAACGATTTTGCTGGATACGGATCTATAAAAATAATTTTATTGGAAATACCACACATTAAAATAATTTTATTGGAAATTAAAATATAATGAGCATTGCTGTAAAATGTTTTTATATTCTAGCAGTTTAAATTTCCAACACAATTATTTTAATAGTCCGACAAAATTATTTTCAGATCTATACCCAGCAAAATTTTTAGGTAGACTTTTCAGCAAACTCGTTCTTTCCACGTGTCAACAATTATTTACGTTATTCAAAATTTTACTAGATGACATTTTTTTTATAAATGTATCGACGGCGCCGACCACCATCAGTGACCATCAGGCCACTTAAGAATAAAATGTCAGTCACTTAATCATTATGACAGTCAATTCATTAATTTTGCTACTTACATTTACATTATGTTTCTATGATTGACATTTTCTAAAATTCATCTTTATACTTTCTTACTCATAGAAATCGGAATCTATTGTTGCCGGAAATGACTGGACACAAAATTTTTTTTTAATACAAAACTCTTATAATCAATTAATCTTTCTATTCGCCTTATCCTACGTTATACCTATCTTAAAGTGCACCATTCTTCTGTGAAAGTGCATGGTTTATGCAAAGCATAAACATTTTAAGAAGCATAGATAAATATAGTTTTTGTAACAATGAAAACAATTTCATAGCCGTCTCTTCGAAGTAAAGAATATCCAGCCGAAGAGAATCTCATGACTCATAATAGATCGTGATCAACGACACGTAAAATTGCACGTTGTACCTGCCATAATTCATTATACGTATACGGGGATGCGAGATCTAAAGCGGTTATCATCGATTTTGAAAATAATCCGTACGATCGGGACGACGCACGGTGCATCCCCTTCGTCTCGGCCGAAGAGGAGAAGGAAGCCGCGGCGCCGCGCCGGCTCGGGATCTTCATCGCGGCGCGAACCATTTCCGCAAACAAAAACATAATTCCGTGTTACACGCGTCGCTTTCAGGACCACGCCACGCATCACACCCATATCCGGCCTCCCGTTTCCGGTCGCAGAAAGCACCAGAGTCGCGGATGGAGCTGAGAAAACTAGGAGAGAGAGAGAGAGAGAGTGAGGGAGGGAGGGAGGGAAGGAGGGAGCGAAGAGTGCGAGATATGTGCAGGACGTACGCTGCGAGAAAGAAAGAAAGGAAGCAAGGAAAAAAAAGAATGGAAACTGAATGCAAACACACATACGCGGTGATAATGTTTCGGCAACCAGCCGGCCCGGCAGATCTGCACGGGTAAATACGCGCGGACACGCCCGTCGCAATTACACGAGTGCCTGCAAGTATAATGAGGCGTGCGTTTCATTGTGATTTATGCAACGGCTGGGGCCCCGTTTTGTGCGTGTGTCCGAGGGGCCATATCTCTCTTTCGTCCCTCCTCCCCTAACCTGAACAGTAAATTCACGAGGAATAGGCACGCGGAATTGAAGCTGCACGGCCAAAAACCAACGTTGGAACTGCAACGTCGTGGTATAAGTCAGCCGGTCTTCGATGCTAATGGAGACCTTTAGATTGGCGTTCAGCTCGTATTCTAGTCTCACTTTTTATTATATCTATATAATTAATATATTGGTTATATATAGATTGAAACAAGAGTGCGAGGATTGCTTAACAACTTTTTATATACTCTTGTACGTACGTAATCTCCAATAAATCTACATATAAATTTCGAAGAACCACAGGAGCGGCTCTTTTGGGAGCGACTGGCTCTTAACTCGATCCCGAGTCGGTATTAACCTTCAATTGCAGTTAAATATAAGTAATTTAATTATTAACGTACAACGTATAATGCCCGGTCGTTTCGCAAGGGATCAAAGAAATAACAACATGTAATGTACCTCTCGGATATATCCACGTGCACCATAATTAGATGTAAATTCGCCGCCCACTTGTCTTGATTGATTCGCAAATGTCGTATAATGGGGCGCTAGGAAGGTCAATTTGTTGGCCGCGTGTTAAATATGCAATCTCGGCGAAGGGGGGGGGGGGATCGTCGTCGGTCCTCGAACGAGGAGGTTTCGCATCACCCAGCGAACTCGCGCGCGCGTGGCAATCGTCGCGCGACGCGGAGAGAGATATTAACCCTAAAGGATTGTAAATATCAATGCGTAATAAATTACGCTGAATAGGCGAGATTATAGACGGCCGGTCGGTGATTTGGCGGTGATTTTTGCACTCACGGCCACGTAATACTCTGTCATTAATACTTTTTCTCCCTCCGTCCGTGCCGTTCATGCGCATCGAAATAATAATATTTTTGGTGCACTTCGCGTCGCGAAATTGCACGCGGTTAAATATAATACGACGCGGCGGTCTCTCCTCCGTATGGTTGCATCCTGTACTGTACTTGGAGGAATCCAACGTCTTCGCAAAAACGCATTTCGCAAAGAAAAAAAAAGAAAGAAAAAACGCAAGCGTAATGGAAATTGTATATTTCTCAGTTGGTATTACTTTGACGTTTTACTTGTACCGTAATTTCTCGCGCGCGTTTACGGATGTCGGGGACCATTAGATGCCGTACGCTTGGATCAACTACATATAATGTCTCATTCCGCGTAAAAATACTGTAATGAACAGAAGAGGCGCGTCGCGAGTGTCTATCACCTCTCGAATAAACTTCAATGAATTGGAAAAATTGCGGGGAAATTTTCCCTCCTCATGCGTAATCAAATCCTTGTCAGATTAAGTGGCGATTGACTGAGGATATCTCATTTCACAGAAATATGAGCAATAATGTAAATAATAGTTACGAACGTGACGTGTCGATCGAATGGCCCAATGGTTCAAGGCGGACGTATATAATGGACGCGAAATGATGAATTGATAGTAGACAGCGTTCATAAATCCGCGGTCTTATCTTACATCACAGTTGTTAATTCCGCATCGACAAATACAGGCGCAACAGCCATATTCCGTGTGTATCTTTAAGCGATAAATTGATCCGACCTAAACAACTCGTCAAAATGCTGACGCATGACCCGCCCGACATGACAGGCGTCATGGACCTTGCGTGTCCCGTTCAGCCGGTTTAATACTATTCAGTTACATGTATTATTCAATCAGCCAATAAGAAGGAAAACACGCGATTTATGCGATCCGCGCGGGTGAGAGCGGTGGGACCTCGGTTTGGGTGCAGGACAGGTCGCGCATGAATCATCTTCGTTCCTCGATTACGGGTATAAGTATAGACGTTCGGACAGCCGAATAAAAAAGAGTCAACAAAATAAATTTTTCTAAACAAATTAATTAAATTTGAATTAACGTAAATTTCCCCTTAAAAAATTTGCCAAAATGTAGGTAACCAAATTTAAATGAATTTCTTTTGAAAATGATTTTTAATTATACTATAACAGCTGATTTAATTATACGCTTTTTTAAGATATAATATTGAAATTTTTGGCTGCATGGAAAGAACGAAAGATGATGAGCATTACTGTAAAACGTTTTGATATTCTAATAACCAGTTTGAATTCCCAACAGAATTTTTAGACCTTCCAGCAAAATCGTTCTTTCCATGTCGTTTGGCGTTGGATAGTGGCGCAAGAATTTATAAGTAATATAACGTAGAAGGTGAATTATGTGCTTCGTTGGGCACAATTGAAATTTTCTGTCGCACGCAAAGAAAAAAATAAAGAAAAAGAATCGACGAAGCGATAACTCGCGCCGCGTCCGCAGAAAGTATCGCGGTCATATCCGCCTATCAACGTGTGTAGTCTCGTTGTCAGTTAGGAGTCCGATTCATGAATAGCACCGCCGTAATAACGAGCTCTTTACATTCCAGATTACACGTGCGACTTGGAATGGCGCGCGCGCGGGGCTTACAAGCGCTATAAAGCAATAAAAGTCGATTTACCTGCTGTACGCCTAGGCAGTGATATATCGCTACTTAACGCCCGCGTAAACCAGAGAATCGCACCTGACAATCCCCGAGAGTTTTATTTATTTATCTTTTTTCCCCTCTCCTCCCGAAGCGCACGGCGAATGCCGTCGATTGACGTTTCGATGGCATTTGAGCGATCAAATCGAATTTATGAGAGGTATAGTATCTAACAAGCGGACAAGCAGGTAACAATAATATGTCGATCACGATAGGCTTAACAATAAGTCTAAATCACGATAGGATTTAAAACATACAGTCTCTACATACAGACGGTATCTTCACTTGTGCTCGATAGTGTCGAGGTGTCGCTGACGCAAGAATCGGCCGTTTTCGAACCGCACGGACGACGACTGGGTTCACCGAAAATCATACTTTTTTTCCTGCAAGCTCCCGCGCTGCAGCCCATTAACGTGCTATCGCATTTTTTCACGTCGCACTTGAATCCCAATACTCGCCACGGTCTGAGGCGATCATACAAGGACCTCGCTCTCGCCGCGGTACGTCTCGTTGTCTCCTTAAAAAAATGACAAGGCGCTCTGTTGGAAGTTTACCTATTGAGAGTCTTCGGCTTGCGCAAAAATATTCCAACGACGGGGCGAGGAGAAACTTAAAAAAAAAACCTGCAACTTCCTCGACGTTTCTTTCATTTTCGTTTTCAGTTGGCCGAACAGTGGCACTTCTGCCGCGGGCTTTGTCTCGGGCTTCTTTTGACGATAGAATGATTCACGCAACGTTTGCGGTTCCCGGTCTGACGTTTGAGGTCTGAAATATATGTAAAATGTATAATTGACATTAGTACGGCCCGCCTTCGAGCAGGATGTGTGAAGATGGCCTGTATGTAGAAAAATTGTTTACTAAATGCTCGGGACATACTTCTATGTGTACATGCACAAATATCTCTGACATACTCATGATATCCCTCAATATTATAATATTTAAAACTTGATATCTAGTCGCTTATTTAATTATTAATTGCGCATTTAATAAATATTGATCAAATATCGAACATATACTCGATTAACATTGCGTGTATAATTTATTAACATCGATTAATCAGAACTTTAATTTAGCTGATTTTGTTATCTATTAGAAAAATCAATGTTTAAAAACAGTTAATCAATCAAACGTCATGTGTACCCATTCCAACTGGTTTTTCTATACTCCGTGCACGATTTTGAGCATCCACCTTTACAGCAGGATGACTTAACTCTCTCTGTAGATTTGTACGAGCCTGATTGTCGCTGATCAATTACCGATATACTTTCATTTCTCTGCAGAGACACTTTGAGTGATTCAAAAGTCAAGATATAAGCAGATCCATCGAAAGATGCCGATTCTTCGTCTTTCTCTTCCATTCTGAATTTTAAGATAGGTACCTCTCCAAATTCTATCGCGTTAATTTTCCTCCGGCTTGTAAGTTTCGCTGAAACTTCTTTCAATCGGACGAATTTTGTTGCTTCATCAGCGCATAGTTTTTCGGAGCTTTCGATCTGTCATCGAAGATGGATCAGAAATATTTCATAAACTTCGTCATACTATTGAATTTATATACAATACAATCGAGAAATCGTTTGTAAAGTTTAATTTTACATCTCATACTTCTACACGAGGTATTCGGAGTGGATAGCGGAGATCTTATTATCGCACATTCGCGAAGAATCACGATGGTCGTTGAGCCCATTTTTAATTCATCGTCGATAGTACAAACTGGACTCCTCGCTATTATAAGGGTTTTCTTCATTTCGCTTGTCTAAATTCGCGCGTAAATTTAGAATACAGATTTGTTTTTCTTTGTGCATTTATTCACCGTTTAAGTTTATAAATAATTAATAATTGATAATGATAACCTGATAAATAATCCAACCTGGTTGCCATTATTTGAAGATCGCGTGCATACATTCCGGAACCTTTTCCCGAGATTCCTGCAGAACTTAACGATTCTATGGTATACGGTCGAAATTATGAAATATTTTTATTATGTCACTCTGTAAACGTAGACAAAAAGTCAACGAACTAAAATTTGAAAGTTGAACGTTGTGAAACTCGATAGGTACAAATCGATAGGTTTCGTGGTATTTGGACAACATCAAGTAATAACAAAACAGGGATGTGATCACATACTGTGTATTATTTAAAAATCTTTTAAAATCATAAAAATTATATTTTTAAAATAGATATTAATACGAAATATCGGTATGTAAAATTTATTTGTTTCTTTGAATACATATACTAAACATTAATCTCTGCTTTTAGACCTTGAAATTTTTGTTGTTAGTTTTGTTGGAATGTAACGAAATTTTCACACGATCTTTGATCGTGTTTATTCTCGATTTATGACTTGACACATTTCTGGACGGAATCTCCTACGGAAAAATTAATAAATAAATTGATAGATATTGAAAAATAACATTTATATACACATAAATTTTATATACCGTGCTTAAATCCACGTTTGATTCAAAATCGTTTGTTATGTTCTTTTTGCTTTCGATATTTTCATTGCTAAATGCCTCTTGAGGCTTCAATGTATCTTTGAACATCCGGCTGGTCTGACCGTATCGTATTTCTTTCGGTGGCACAACTGAAAGTTATATGTTAAAGATTTAACTTTAACTAAGAATATATAATATAATTAGGCACTAGCAATTTTTAAATAAATTCTGTTTTTTTTTACTTGATATATGTACAATATATGTATAACTAACAAATAATATATATAAAATACATAATAATATGCATATAATAATATATTATATGTAATATATATAACAATTCTCTCTGCATTTTACTACTTGATCTATCAATCCTCTTTTCTTTATCTTCATGCTGTGTACTGTTACGTATTTCTTTGGATTTATGTGATGTCTCTGGTATTTTTTGTTCGCTTTCATCTTCTTGTATTCCGTCCGTCCAAAATTCGGAAGCAACAATACTCTGTTCACTCGTAACAGCTCTTTTAACGTACCGTTGGGTCGGTTCGTGGTTGTTAATATCGGAACTAACAATAAGAAGAGATTTTTTTTAAATATTTTTAAATAAAATATATTTTAATATATTTAAAATATTTTGGAAAAGTTTACGTATGTTAAAATTTAATAAATTTTACGTTCACGTAATTCAAATTTGTTTAAAGCACGCACAAGAATAAATAATATAAAATATATTAATCTAATTAATACTAGATGTAATTAAAAAATTTAACAACGTATATAATAATTTGAAAGGCAGAGAGTTTACCTTGTAACTTCAATCAAAGCTGATTTTACATCGAGACTGTAATGTGGAATTGTGTCAGAATCCGCGTACTCGTCCATGTGTTCTATTCGGGACTTCGTCTCGCTCGTCAAGTCTCTTCGAGAAGTGCCGAATTTTGAACTGGCAATATTATTTTGTTTTTTCGGTATTGATGTTACAAAACGACGTGGAGCCTATACCGAAAGAATATAAATTGTTCACAAGTGTCTCACACATGCTTTCTTGAACGACAATTTCAAATTTTTCAAATGTTACTGTTTCATCAATAGTACCCTTAAAATTTATAAAATAAAAGGAGTAAAATAGGAAATTAAGGAAAATGTTGTACCTCGTCCGTGCCTTCTTCAAGCAATATTAAAGTAACAGATGATCCGTCCAAAACCCCGTGGAGATGCGGCAGCTTTTGCTGGCAACACTCGATCGTACGTCCCTTTAGAATTTTCCACCAAGAATTCTCGTCCTCCAGAAATGTCTTTATCTTTTCCATTTCCCGTAAACATGTTACTACTGCACAATGAGCGTCCTTTAGATCATTCATTTCGACTTCTCGCGGCGATTTTAACAAACCCTCCTGATAACATTTTTGAAAGGAATTACCGTGTACAATCTAAAGTGTTTATTTTAATTTATCATATTCGTTTAACGTGTATTATTAATAAATTACCGTCCCGTCATCATGACACTTCGGTCTATCGGGATTCGGAACACTACTCTTTAATTCTTGAATTTTGTTTACAGGACGATCGACATTGTAGAAACGTGAATTAAATCCGTATATCGAATTCGTGCCGACTTTCGCATCACACCTCCTTGGCTCGTAGTACTCTCTTCGTCTTGTGACAGGCGATTTATAACGGCTTTCCAAAGTGCGTGGATTGAAAGCAGCCGGCGGAGTAAGGTGAGTGCAAATCCTGCACGGAGGTTGCTGAAAAGGTAAAATGTTACATTCGAAAGGATGTACATTGTCAGACGTATCCTCGCGATATAATATATACAACCACGTTTTTCTAATAATTAAAAAATTTTGTTAAAAGTTATCTATAACATACATAAAAATCTTTAAGTAAAATATAATTTAATACACACGTTATATAAAAATGGAAAATAGGTTATATACCATTTGGATAAGAAATTCTGTTATATTTCTTTACATTTCAATATTAATAATAATCGAGCCATATCATGTCATATTCGAATATGTATTTTTGAGCTGCAGAATGTATTTGTATTTACATCTTCTGTTTTCATTTTAGATTATTTATTGACGTTTCGCATTATTTCGGAATTTAGAATTAAGATACATATACACGTGTACGCCGTACGGCAAAAAATATTAGATGTGAAGTGAGACTACGTTATTTTTGTAAAAACACGAAACTTCAAGTAGTTTTACTATAAAATAAAGAATTAGTTTTTCCAGTAAGTAACTTAATAAAAATTCGGTGTCACTTTCGTTTTACGGCAGAGATGCTTTATTAGTCATAATGTCTGAAGAGAAGATTTCGGGAATCATTTGCATTTACAATTATATTATACGAAGTACAAATTTAATTTCAGAATGTCGTAACAAAGCGATACTTAATTGCAGATTCCTATCGCTAAAGTCATTAAAAAAAAACCGGGTAGCATTGTCTTGCCTTTTTTCACGTAGAGATCTCCGCGATCTCCGACAGCGTACGGCCACTCTCTGGCGCGAATAATCCCCTTCTTTGAAAAATGAGCCAGCCGGCTCGTGTGGCTGCTAAAAAATGAAACGGCATTTGTATCACCGCGACGTTTATCCTGAAAACGGACTTTGTGTCCACCACGATGTCATGCTTACACGCTTCTTTTCGCGCGACACAATAAAGACTCCCGCCGCGTTTAATAGTAGCTCTCACCTATTTGCTCGCTTTTTGCGTGCAACGTAATGTAATGCCGCGTTCAACAAATTGCACAACATTTCTCAGACATTCCGCGAAAAAGAAACTTTTTGCACAGCTATCTCCTTCTTATGCAAAATACAATTTTATTTACAAATATATTTTTTATTTTTTTTAAATAAAACTTATAAACACTTTTACAAAACATCTCACATTACATAAATATTCAAAGATATAGCTTGGAAATTAATGCATTTCCCGGCGACCTGCCGATTTAGTATTCCAGCGACGTGAAAACTCGAGTGGCGTTGAAATTCTCGGGTCGGAAAGCTATTGGGAAGCGTTGAAAAGACGAGCTTGTAAACGGTTCGTTTACAGCGCTCTCGGGGATCTCGAAAAACCGGGTCGCATCCTACCTCGAAATCTTGCCGGAATCTCGCGCGGCCGAACGACCCGCATAATTGCATTGTGATGAGAGCCGTAAGCCGCGCACGCCTCGCATGGCTGATTCAGAATGAGGAAACGTGGAAAAAAAAGTCAACGAGATTGTACCCGCCCGCGGGGGCAAATCACGTGGAGCGACTCTTGAGAGTGTCGCGCGCGCTACGCTCGGCCCATTCATTTGCAAAGGAGCGTGGCACTATGGGATTCCCCGTAGATGGGATCGCTTTCTCGCGAACGCGCAACCCGTAAGGATGCGTCGCAATAGCGACGAAATTGGGTCATTCAGGTGCAAAGTAGGGTGAACCTACCCGCCATTCTCTCCTAATCCCAATACCGGCCGATTTTTCACACAATCCGTGACGACGCGTCCTCCCTTGCCGAGAAAAATCTCATTGCTGCGTGCGCGCCGTGAAATTCATTTCACAAATTCGTTTCCCTCCCGCCGCGGACTCGACTGAGCTCGCCGGTCCGTATAATTAAGCAATAAAACATTAAATTATGGTAAACACATCCTGCATTCCTAGACACTAACTTGCGTGGAAGAGTATCAATTATCTTTTGCGTTATTATTCTGAAATTGAAATAATTTCAGGGTAAAGCGCACACGCGATGTCCATGAAGAGACACGAAAAAAAGGCATGCATTACGATATTAATATTTTCATGCGCTGCATATTACGATCGCGTCCCAAGGGCCGTGCTCTCCCCGTGACGAATGCCACGTCTTTTGAGAACTTGAACGATCCGCGTTTAAGAGAGCCCACTTTCATCCCCTCCTCGCGATCTTTCTTTCACGAATCTGCAGAACAAAGTAAGAGGAAGTATGACCGCATTAAGGAAGTTTCACGGCGAGCACGTATGTAACCGGCGAAGAATGCGAGGCGCGCGCGCGCGCGATAAAATTCAGCTCGTAAATCTTCGTCGAATGGATTGTTTGCGGACGTAGCTTGGCGGATGCCCCGAAGAGGTTGCGCCATCCCGAAATTGGGTTATTCAAGTGCAAAGCAGGGCGTCGATGGCGTACGAGGGCGATCCTTCAACGTCCTCCGGCTCTCCGGAGAGCGCTCTACTCCCCTCGAGTGCTTTTCCACGAAAAATACGGATTTTTCGTTCGCGGCGCCGTGAAAATCGGTTAGGCGAGTTCATGAATTTCCATGTGAAACGAGCTGGCATCCTCATGTTAATATCGCATTGTGTATCGTCGCGTGAATGACGTGACCGTCGCGTTTCTTTCAGTTTTCCACGAGTGTTATAAGTGTCATTATACGTGCGATACCGCGGACATTTGAAATTTTTAAGGAGTTACGCCACCTTTGAGGTTTTAGAACGATACCTAAAGTTTGGGATTTTTTTGTTTATAAATGGATAAATTTATTTAAAATCTGTTTAGAGGACATTAGTTTACACATATAAGAAACTAAAAAAATTTTTTGTTTCTTTTTCTTATGTCCAAAATGGCGGCGCACTGGCCTCAACTTGCAAAATCCATTTTTTTTCTATTAGTGTACAAGATTCCAGGTATACATGGTTTGACCTGAAACAAAACATAAAGAATTTTCTACATATTAAAGACTAATGAAGTCTTTGACTATATAAATATGGACTGCTAGTGTCCCCACTTTTACTATGTAAAAGACATACCTATGCCCGGTATCGCCGAGCTGGTTGAGGTATCGAACTTCGATTGTTAGGCTCCACCCCAGTCAATAAAAAAATGTCAAATCAAAATATATTAAATATTATGTTGAAAATTGATAGGGAGCCGGAAAAAAACTCAAATCGATGGAAAGAAATTAAAAACAGACTCAGCACCTTTCCTTTACACGTCGTAAACACGCTTCACAAGAGCCTTCTCCCTCCCCGCAGAAAATTACTGACTGGGTTGGAGATTACATCTTCCAGCTTGGCGACACGTATGAAGTTAATTACTATTCCTAATAGTCCATACTTATATAGTCAAAGAATGAAGTATGTAGGGGTTCTTCAAAATATTGATTTTTCTCAAAATGATAGCTATTTTAAGAAAGACTTGTCCTGGCGAAAAATACACATTTTTCGTAAAATAGCTGCTATTTTGAGAAAAATCCCTACGTACTTCATTAGTCTTTAATATGTAGATAGTGAAAATTCTTTGTATTTTGCTCAAGGTCAAACCGTGTGTCTGAAATCTCGTACACCGATTTGAAGATACAGAAAAAAAGGATTCTGCAAGTAGGTCAGTGCGCCGCCATTTTGGACATAAAAAAAATAAAAAAATATTTTTTTGCTTTTTTATATATATACAATAATGTCCTTTAAATAGATTTTTAATAAAGTTATCTATTTACTCACAAAAAAATCCCAAACTTAGGTATCTTTTAAGGCCTCAAAAGTGGCCCTAAAAGCTTTGAATATGAAGCATTCTGTATATAACACACACACACATATGCCAAGCAGGCGAAATTGCCTCTATTTTCTTTTTACGAAATCGTTGTTTCGTGCTTGAAGCTGTTTTCTACATCCGCCGCCTACCGCTGCCTCACATTCATACAAATGAAGAGGTCTTGTAAACGCTTATTTAATCCTTATTGCTGTAACATTATGAGTGAGAAATTTTTTATGTCATTTATTGTCCATTTTTCATAATGTCGTTCCGACTCCGTGTTATAAATTTCACTCGAATTGAATTGTTTGCAAATATATGCATTATACTTTTGTCATTCTCAATCACAAGAGAAAGCTGGCTTTCAAAATCGGCACTACCTATATGTACTATACACTGTCCGAGATCACATCTCACATCTCAAATGAAATTCGCCGACCTGTGTAAAGAGCCATTTAAACCAATTCTGTTAGAATATTCTATTCTGTCAAATAGAAATTGTCCCCGCCGCGGGACACCTCTTTTTATCAATCAATTTTCAATGCCTAATACCGACCACAGAAGCCACCGGTGTCAAAGAAGGGCGGCATTCTCAAAGACGGCGAGAAGCTGGCAGTAAAGTCAAAATAAAGTAATTGTTGCCCTATTGTAACGCTGCTTATGTCCCTCCCTCGGATCTTTTCTCCTTTTTCTACGCTTGGGACACCGTATTAGGTAAGCGATCCCTCGACCGCTCCTTTAATCCCACCCAAGGTGCCTCTCATATTTCTCCCTGGTTGATTTTCCAAATCTAAAAGCGGTAGTGTATCACCTCACAGTATTTTATAACGCCCCACGGAATTTGACTCTGGAAATGCAGAATCGTCAAATGTATCCCGAGACGAGGTGCGCGCATTTTTATTCCACGTTTTTCCGTTTCGCGATTTTATTATTTTGTGACGTTTTCAATAATACGCTTTCCAATCTTGTAATAAAGTTGCAGGGAGCAACTTGAGGCTAAAAGAAAGTTTTTTTTTTCTTTGCCGCGGTAAGTTTACAAATAGACAACTCTCTTCTTTCTTAAATGCCGTAAGTACTTTTCAAGGGAAAAGCAATATATTGTCTTCGATTTTTAAATTATCTTTGAAGTTCTACCGCTTGCATAACGCCACTTTCTCTCATTCTTATACAGGATACACAAATTGCACGTCTCTGAATAATTGTTTTGTCCAAAAATTACATGAAACGAATTCCACAATGGTTTTCCCAAATCAAAAGATTCTTTTGCCTAAAATTGACTTTCTACGGACTTTCTATGGATTTCCTATCAATTACAAAATATTATCAATGTCGAAACACGTGAAAAATATTCGTATGAAATAAATAGAGCGAAAACTTTTGAGACCAACATACCTGTATAAGCGTTTCACGCAAACGTTAGCTCAAGGTAGAAGTGTGCGAATAGTTCTAATTCGAATCTGTAAGATTTGAAATCGAATAGTTCGAGTATTTCGAATCAACAATGGTTCGATTTCGAATCGATCGCCTATCTTATTGTCTTCATTTATATCTTCCGCGCAATTAATTATTCTTAACTAATTACAAGTATTTTTGATGTATTTAATGTATCCATATAAATTAATGAAATGTTCAAAAGCTTTCTAAATATTCTTGTATACACATATTATTAGTTACATATTTT